ATATAGAGGGGGGGAGAAATGTTAAGGTTAATTGCATTAATTTTGAAGAAAAACAAAGATTTTCAATTCATAATGGATGCATTTAACTAATAACTCAAAATTAATATATTGTAGTGCTCAAAGGAAGTTATATCCATTTAAGAGAATTTCTAAGAATTTTCTAAAGATAATCTAGAAAAAATTATATGGCACTGCTGTACTTCATTTTCTTTTACATCAAATCAGAAGTTAACTTTTTAAAATCACGAATTTTAGGATTTCCAATTTAAAAAGCACCAAAATTACATTTCTGATAAAATTCTTGAAGGTGTGGCTTAATTTGATTGTTTAAGGTTGCAACCTTATGCAAACCACACCCTTACAAAAATACCTCTACGTTACACATATAGGCAATAGAGTATTTTCTGCCCAGAAATGTAGTATTGAACTTTTTAAAATTCCCCAATAGAAGTACACATGCAAGAGAATCCTTTGCCTAATTGCCTTATGTGTATAACAAGTTTGAGTCGCTATCATTGAAGTCTTTTTTTCTTCTTCTAAATGTTATAAAGATGCTAAGGTTCACAATGGAATTATTAAGTGTGAACCATACTATATGCTTTGATATAAAAAAAATAAAAAGATCATAATCACTTTTAACTGTTAAATGTGAAATTGACTATTAAGAATGTGTTATGGCCACTTTCAAAGTAAAAAAAGAGTTCCCCATTTGATTGTTAGAAATTATAGAAATGACCACAATTATGTGTAAAAAATAAATGGTCCAGTAATAAACAATCTCTTCAGCAAATCATTCATAATTACGATCAAGAAGAAACCAATGCGACATGGCCTTCCAATGTGGATATGAAATAGTTCAATCGAAATTCCTTCAAAAGAGATTTAGGTGTAATAATCTATATCGATGGAATTCAATATAATCTGAACTCTTTACTATGAGAATCCTTTTTTTTTCTCATTAAATAGAATTATAATGATACAAATTTTGCCACTATCGACTTTATTTCATAAAGACAGAAAACCATAATTAATGTAATGGTTAGTTCGTATCTTGTTAACTTGGTCTCCTCCTCAGTCTTTTCAGCTTCTAAACTTTAATTACTCCTTCAATTGGGGGTGAACCTAAAAAAAAAAAAAGAAAAAAGAAGAAAGAAGAAGAAGAGAAGGCCGGCGGTTATGATCTCTCCACTTTCTTATATAGTGTGTTGCTATTAGGAACTCCAGCCTGCTTGTAACTATGCTTACCTGACATGTAAAAAAAATAAATGAGACAATTTGTCAAAACTCCCATGGTTTAAGCTAATTATGGAAATATCTTTTCTAACAAGAACTATGAGAGTTGCCCAGCGGGAACGTAAACTAACTTTGCTTTTTATTTTGTTGAAAAATTTAAATTATGGCTATCAGTTTTTTTTGCAGGTAGTTCAGCAGTAGAAATCGAATTTCAAATGTAAAATTGTGACGGTCAAGCACTCCTAACCACTCAAGTCCAAGCCTAACTCCTCGGTATCAACCTTTCAAACCAAACAAAGGTCAAAAGGCAAGTAATTGGGGATATCTTGTATTATGTATAATATCATTTATTCGTTTAACTTTTTTTTTTGGTGATTTTAGCTGTATTTTGATATTTTTAGCAAAAAAAAAAAGGATTTCAGCAAATTATTTTGAATAAATTAAAGAAACTTTTCGAAAAGATAAACTTATGTATAATACATTTAAGTTTATCTCGTATAACTTATTTTGGACGTTGTCAAACAACAAATAATTCATTATCATTATTAATTTTCTTGAAAAAATAAACTATCGGTCATAATAAATACATCCAAACAACCCTAAGGTATTAAAAAAAAAAAAAAATTAATTTCTTGGAATCTTTTTTTATCCCACTGTTCATGTTTGAGAAAAATTTACTTAAATAACCCCATTGTATGCTACAACTATATACGCGCTCTTTTGCTTTTGTATTCGAGTCAAGAAATCTTCCGAATCCACTAAGCATGTCCATGACAATATTTGGAAGTTAATTAACTTAATCCAGTTTAAGAAAGCAATCATAATTAAATTTTAGGGTAAATTCACAAACACTAATTTTGAATTTGAATCGTCTTGGGAAAATGAAACGCCCAACTTCATGCTTTCTTTCCAAATTTGAGGCCTCTTTTAACTGTTATCAATTAGCACCATCACGCATTCTTCTTAAGAAAAGTCCAATAAAATAAAAATTGGGTAAAATATATAAGATAGGCAATTTGGGCCAAATAAAAAAGGTTTAACGGGAACATTCTGTGATATCATTTGGGTTTCCTACAGTTTCCTAGCAGTCTCTCAACCGTCCGACATCCTCAAGGGACGGTTGAGGCGGCGGCGTTCCTAATTAAATGAAAATGACAGCATATTACAATGACTGGTTAGATATGAGTGTGTAAATAGGAAATTATTTGAATGCTACTAAAAAAGAAAATGAGAAAGAGAATTGGGTACAATGTTTATATAAGTAAAAGGAAGAAGCTCTATATGTCAAGTTTGATTGATTCCTATTGTGGGAAGAAAAAAAAAAAAACGAACCAGAAAGAGGTCGTCTTCGGGACACAGAGACACGAGGAATGAACACTCCAGTGCCGCTGCTCTCTCTTTGCATTGAACCAATTGTAAAACCCTGAAATTCATTATCCAAATCCTTAGAGAGAGAGAAATAATAGAAACAAAATTCACAATTATTTTCTAAAAGAGTTCCTCCCTTTCTCTAAAATTCTTCGAGACAGGCTATTTCTTTGTTCTACTCACCGCGCTCAAATTCCTGCTGAATATTTGGTTCGGTTCTCCGAGCACATCGACCGGCCAAACAGGGCTCCAAGGAGAGCATGGCTACATAGAGACCATAAAAAACTATACATTAAGAGTCGAGATCGAGATCGAGATCGAGATCGAGAGAGAGGGACAGAGAGCTTACTTGAGGGGAGAAGAACAAGGGGGTCTTCTTCTTGGGGAAGTTGGGTTTGGGTTTAGGAAATGGTTCATCTTCATCCGTCATTAGAAGGGTAATTTGCTTCTTCAACTCCACAAAGAAAGCATCATCGTCCATGTCTGAGGCGATTTCCATAGTGGGAGGAATGAGAAAGATAGAGGAACTGGGTACAATAAATAAGTTGGAAAGAGGCGAGTATTAAGCGTGTTTTTATAAGGAGGGTGGGTGCATGGCAACAAACAGTGTTTTGTAACCGCTGTCCACTCTCCATTGTTTGGATACTCGGAATTGAACTCATTCCATATATCTTTTACAAGGTCTAAGATGCCCTTTTGACTCTTCAAACTCACAGTCATGCCCTTGGATTTTTATGGCTTTTTAAATGTTTGCCTTTTTTTTTTTTGGGTTTTAAACATGGAAAAAACTTAGGTAGATGTAAGGCACACCTCAAAAATCTAATGCAAGTGTCTTGAAATTGGAAATTCTTTTAATTGATCTTCTCGACCTCAAGATATATGAATATGAAAGGGAAAAAAGAAGAAGAGAATTTTAAGTTTTAAAAATAATACGTCTTGTAACAAGTTATCTGGACAATCTATTTTCTAGATTTTCAAGTGTTTATAGATCTGCTTGATCTACACCGTTTTTTGAACATGGACTTTCATTTTATTGCAAGGTTTTCGACACTGAAACTATGCTTTTCAGTAAAACTTAGATGTACTCCTTACGTATACAATATAAGATGTGCATCTTATTCAAACCTCACCCTTGAAATAACAAGTTAGCAACTCCTCAACTATCCAAAGTCAATAATAGAAGATTTAAGTAGTGTCTTTCCTCTTCTAAGATCCATCTACAATTTGATGGAATTTGAGTAGAGCAATTACAGTACTCATACCACTATTAGCATGCGGTTGATGAGTTGCGAGCAGGCTATTTGAAACCAAAATGCTAGCATACTATTGAATAGACTTTTGAGTAGAGAAACAACAGTTCTTCACATCAATGTTCACATAGTTGAGTTGAAAGGAGACTGATTGAAGCCCTCATGCAAGTTTATTGTGTTTTTACCTTGTCCCTTTTCACTTTTTGAGATTAAACATGACATTGTCCACTGTCATGTAAAATTTAGGCTTAGCATAAGCAGGGGATGAATTTTGACACTATTTTTTACCAATTAGAAATTTCTCCTATTCATTATTACTTAAAAGAGTACGGAAAGATCACAATCATTATTGATCAATTGATTTGAAATGGGGTGGTCCGAGAAGCATCACTAATTAGGAACAGTCCAAATAAATTATGTTGAAAATTGTGATGTATTTTAATTCATTGGATTTCACATCCAATTGCTATAACTAACTTTGATCTTTTTGTACAACAAGTGAATGATCTTGTAATATACAATTCCAAAGATTATATGTTCATACACTCTCTAAAACACTACCTAGTAGTTTTTTTATCATCTCGACATCGAGATCTATGAATATTAAAAAAAAAAAAATTTGAGTACCAAAATAGTTCATCTTGCAACACATTATCTAGACCATCCATTTTCAAGATTTTCATATGTTTATAAATCTACTTGATGTTAACCATTTTTAGAGTATAAAATTTTCTAATTAGATATGAAAATAGTTTTTAAGATAATTCTAAAAAAATTTTACAACAAAATTACATGTTATGATAAAATTTGGAGGTGT